CACGGTTCTGGCTTTTTTCCTCATAATTCTCTGATTATATCTCGTAATTCTGACTTTTTTCTCATAATTGTGAGTTTATATATCTCACTATTCTGAGTTAATTCTATGAGGAAATCTGTTAATTCATCTGAGTTTACATCTCACAATTTTGACTCTTTTCTCTGAATTTATTTTTAGTCAATTCTGAGTTTACATCTTGCATTTCTGACTTCAGAAGAAAGAAAAGTCTGAATTTTAAGATGTCAGCTTCCATACTCAGGAGACTTAATTATGTTTCATATAAAATATCAATGTTGTCTTAAATGTTTGTTTAAAAAATGCTTTGGAGAAAATCCTTTGGAAGAATTTTCTTAATTAAATACAAAGAAGTGACATGTAACACATTGATTTAGACGTGAAATTTTGAAGAAATACTGAAAAAGTGAAAAAAAAAAAAAAAAGCGCTTTAATGAGAGATGTTTGAGCTCATATTGTGACAAATCTGAGCACAGTTTGAGATCTCTTCTGAAATGCTAGAGAAGACATGTGTGAGACAGTGAAGAAGTCTTGTCTGCTCTCCATTCAGTCTTATTGCTGTTTAAGAGAAACAATTGAGATACTCAAAAAGATCTCAAAAGTGATTTTTCAAAAAAAAAAAACATGAACCTACACTGAAAACAAAAATTTCACTCAGAAATTGCTAATAAATTTCACAATTATTTACATAGAAATGGCAAGAAACACTGAATTATATCTCAAATTTTGAATTTGAAAGATTGAAATAGTAATTTGTCATAAAACATACTCCAATAATCTTTATTTACAACTACAAAAATACTTTTTTACCGTGTAGTAAGAGTATGGTGGAGCAGCTCAGATCATTTGATGAGAAATGTTTGAGCTCATATATTAAGATTTCTGACTTTGGATTGCAGGCAAATATGAGACTTTTATCAGATGTCTCTTCTGTCTCATTGCTGCGATACAATCGAGATATTAAAGGAAACATCAAAAGTGTTTTTTTTAAGATGCATGAATTTATTTACATTAAGGTATTGCAGTCTTAACACGTTTCATAATGCAATGATGCACAAATAGATTTATGTTTAGCGACTCTAGCGAGAAGTGTTTGCATTCACATACTAAAGCAGAGATGGCTTTATTTCACAGTTGAATCTGGCACTGGACTGGATCCTAACATTTGGTTTGGGCTAAACCCAGCTGTGGTTAGCTGTGTTTTTCCGCCTGTTTTTCCTGTTCTGGAGTTTCAGAAGAGATCTCTAAATGTGCTTCCAATTTGCCAAGAGTCTGCAAGACTCATCAAATGATCTGAGCTGCTCTCTGTATTCATTTCATAGCTTTATACTCTTACTGGATGACAAATCTGTGTTTCATTAAGATAATAGGAGAAACATCTCAGACAAAGTTGAAATCCAGTGAGAAATCCACAGAGATCTTCATAAGTCTCCTGTGCTCTGCTCTTTACCGTTTCCTCACAAAAATGCACATCGCATGGCAATTTTAATTCCACAAAGGCCATTTAGTATCAGTCCCGAAGGGCTTTTGTGCAACAAAATCCTTGCGTCTATAAATAGCCCCAGAATCCTCTAATCTAAAGCTCTGACGGGAGTCTTTTGTTGATGTGATTCGTGTTTGGCAAGAGATGCGTGACCGCTGAAGACTTGAATTATGAGAAATCAGCAACAGAAGGATGGAAATAACGAGGAGCAGAAGATGAGACCGTTTCAGTGTGTGTTTGTAACATTGCATTGTTTGCATGTGATTAAATAGATGCAAGAACGAAGGCCAATCACAATTCAGTATGCAATGGTGTCATCAATGCTGTTGGTTATATTTTAAAGCTGAACGTTCTATTCAAGTCAGTGTCAGATTTTCAAACTTTAATCTTACATTTCTTAAAACAAGTTTATAAAAACTTTGATCTATTAGTAACCAATTGGACTATGTAACGTGAGCATTGCATACTTGAAAAAGAGTTTATACTACTGTTCAAAAGTTTGTGATCAGTAAGATTTATTTTTTTTAAAGAAACAAGTATTTTAAGCCAGCAAAGATGCATTAGATTGATCAAAAGTGACAGTATGACATATGATGTTGTTATTGTTTCTTTTACTTTTTATTCATGAAACAATCCTAAAAAATAAAATGCATCACAGATGTTTCCACAAAAATATGAAGCAGCACAACTGTTTTCAACATTGATACTAATAATAATAAATGTTTCTTGAGCAGCAAATCAGCATATTAGAATGATTTCTGAAGATCATGTGACACTGAAGACTGGAGTAATGATGCTGAAAATTCAGCTGCGCATCACAGGAATACATTACATTTCAACATATTTTATGCAGCCTTCTTTCAAATATAACAAAAATCTTACCAACCCCAAACTTTTGAACAGTTTAGTCTAAAAACTGTTACATTTTGATAAAAGATTGATTTTGTGTTTTTCTTTGTGACTTTTTTCACAGATGAATCATTCACAATAAGACCAGGAACATTTTTTTCAACTGCTTACACACTTTTTCAAAACTTTGCCTCTTTTTTTCAAAACTTTACACACAAATCAAATAATTGCACACACAAAATGCAAAATGCCTCGCATCTCTTGCAAAAGGAAGCACAAGCACATCTCAAAAGCAAACATTTGCAAACACCTTTGCCATAATATTAATTCCTGTTAGATTTTTGTGTGTTACATAGAGAATTGTATGTTGTGTTTTACAAAACGTGTTTATGAAATTGAAAACTGAGTCAAAGGCCCAGAATTAGTGTATGGTTTTGCAGATTTGGTGTGTGCTTCTGCTTTCAGAAATTGTGTGACAAGTAAAGATTTTGTTTCTGCTGACTCTGCTGGGTGTGTGGTCAGCAGGTGAAGGACTGGGGAATTCAGACGCAGCATGTGAAAACAGACTGTGTGTGTGAGATGCTGCATTCACTACTGTAAATGTATTTATAGAGCGAGAGAAAGACGGTTGTGTTTGTCCGCAGCTACATGTGCTGACTAGCTGAAGTGTGTTAGTGAACGGCTGACCGCTGAGACGAGCTCTATTCTGAGCTGAGGAAGCCCCTCTCCGCTGGTATCACTCGCTTGGACCGAGACAGGGCTGTGTTTCACACTTCAGCCTCTACAGTGAAACTCCATCTGCCCTCCATAGTGCCGTCTTCTATTTATACCATCATGTGTGTGTGTGTGTGTGTGTGTGTGTGTGAGAGAGAGAGTGTTTGTGTGTGTGTGTGTGTGTGTGTGTGTGTGGTTTAGTAGCACTGTTGAGGAACTAAATGTAGCACTGATACAAACTTAACTTAATTTTTCAGTTGCCTGATAATATGTGCAGCTTCACAGTTGAGATTTGATGCAATAATCAAACACACTTTATATCAAATTCAATCTAGTGAATTATTTCTTTCGGAATGTAGCACTGAATAGATTTTTTTTTTTTTTGTTAAATGCTGTTATTTTTACTGTATTTTGGAGTTTAATCATTGGGTTCATTCATTCATTCATTCATTCATTCAATATAAATGTATCTTTTCATACTCTCAACCTAATTTATATATTGAAATTTTCTATATTGAAATAATTTATATATGGACATTTATATATTGAAAAAGATATTGCTGATGCCATAATCAAACACACTCTGTTTAAAAGTCCTGTCTTCTAATCTAGATCAATTGATATTATTTATACATCAAAAAAATATATTTCTGATGCAATAACCATGCAATAAACATGATCTATTTCAAATTTATTCTTGTGAATAATTTATTGCGCAATGTACCAATGAACCAAAACCAATGAACCAAAAAAAAAAAAAACATTTTTTAAGTTAAATGCTGCTGTTTGTTACAACATTTTGTTTAATGAATGACTGAATGAATAAATTATTAATTTATTCATTTATTTTTATTTAATATCGGTTTATCTAGTCAATTTTCATAAATTCAATGTAATTGAGATGTATAATTCATACAATTTTAATCTATATAATTTGATTTTAATTTAATTTAATTTCTTATATGTTTGTATGTATGCTGTCATATTTAATATAAATTTTATTTGTATTTTTTATAAATTGTATTTTATATTGTTTGAATTTTTTATTTGAAATTAAAAAATGTTTAAAGATACAAAAAAAATAAATTTTTATTATTTGTATTTTTTATCAATTGTATTTTATATTTTTTGTATTTTTTATTTGAAATTAAAATGTTTAAAAATACAAAAAAATCTATTTTTATTATTTGTATTTTTTATAAATTGTGTTTTATATTGTTAGTATTTTTTATTTGAAATAAAAAAATGTTTAAAGATACAAAAAAAATAAATTTTTATTATTTGTATTTTTTTATAAATTGTATTTTATATTGTTTGTATTTTTTTAATTAAAAAAGTTTAAAAATACAAAATAATCAATTTTTATTATTTGTATTTTTTATAAATTGTATTTTATATTGTTTGTATTTTTTATTTGAAATTATAAATGTTTAAAAATACAAAAAATTTTTTTTATTATTTGTATTTTTTATAAATTGTATTTTATATTGTTTGTATTTTTTATTTGAAATTATAAATGTTTAAAAATACAAAAAATTTTTTTTATTATTTGTATTTTTTATAAATTGTATTTTATATTGTTTGTATTTTTTATTTGAAATTAAAAATTGTTTACAAATACAAAAACATCTGTTTTTATCATTTGTATTTGTTATAAATTGTATTTTATGTTGTTTGTATTTTTTATTATTTGAAATGTTTGTTGTTGTGTGATGCATGAAACTGTTTCACATACTATTCTTGCAAAACATAAGCCAGTATTCAGTGTTTTCTGTGTAGTATGTAGTAAGCAGTATGCTAGTGTTCCAATCTAATCATAACTAGAGTTGATCAGGATGGTAGTAAAGTGACATGTGCTGAGCTGTATTTAAACATGACAGGAACACTTTAAATTAGCAGTATGAATAATGCCCATCTCTGTCTCTTTTTCTCTTGGTAGTGAAGTATATTAAGGAGATGTCGGCGTTTTTTAAGGGCGGATCGACGACGGGACCCCCGGTGCTCGATTCTCCTCCAGCCAGCCCACAGAAACAGACGGACCCCGCGCTAAAAGAGACCCAGACCATCCCGCTCCGAATGTGCCACGTGACACTCAAACAGTGCCCGCCGGACACAGAGGACAGGTACAAACACACCTGTGGTGTTTAGATCTGTATCTGATTAGGCTCATATTGAAAGATCAGGATTTACTCCAGCTTTTCTAATTCAAACATTAAACACGTTCTATGTCAGGTGGTTACAAAACCGCTAAATAGTTATCTATCATTACATTTGTTCATTACAATGTTTAGTTTTTTTACAGCTTTAGTGTGCATTGACGCACTGGAAAAAAATAGAGACATTTATATAGATTTATAATAATAAAATTAGATATTATATTCTTCCGATCAAAAGTTTGGGGTCGGTAGGATTTTTAATGTTTTTAAAAGTCTTTTCTGCTCACCAAGGCTGCATTTATTTGATCAAAAATACAGTAAAAACAGTAAAATTTTGAAATATTTTTCCAATTTAAAATGTTTTTTTTTTTCTATGTAAATATATGTTAAAATGTATTTTATTGCTGTGATGTGCAGCTGAATTTTCAGCATCGTTACTCCAGTCTTCAGTGTCACATGATCTTCAGAAATCACTCTACAAACAGTTGTGCTGCTTCATATCATATCATATCATATCATATCATATCATATCATATCATACTTAATATTGGCCATTATTTAAAGCCATAACATGGCCTCAACTCAATATTCTTAGTGACCCCAAGCTTTATAATTGAATTTAATTTAATTAAATTTTTTATATTGGTCCATATTTAAAGCCATAACAAAATTATTTTATATTATACTTTATGCCTTCAACTCAATATTCTTAGTGACCCCAAACTTTATAATATAATATAATATAATATAATATAATATAATATAATATAATATTGTTTATATTGGTAATTTTTTGAAGTTTAGCTATAACAAAATTAATTGATTCTGATCAGATGAAACACCTGTCAGCACATTCAACATTAAAACAGCCTACAGTTTGTCTAATGAACTTTATTAGTTGGCAGAAGGACTGTTTACCATTATTATGGTACTGTGTTTATTAAGGTAATATGCCACGAGAGGTCATAGTGAGACTTGCCGTGTAAAGTCAGCTCTTCTGTCTCTGGAGGTATTTTGAGGTGGTGTCGTCAGACAGGAAGAAGGCTGTGTTTCTGCGGGCTAAAGATCACGCCATGGCTCAGACCTGGTATAACGCCATCCAGACCGGAAGTGCAGCGTTACTGAGCAGTGCTAAAGCTGAGCTCAAAGCCCTGCAGACCAGTCTGGACGTCACGCACATCGGCTGGATCATCGAGCAGGTGAGAAACACACACACACACACACACATACACATACACACACACCTGAGACGAGATGAGACGATGCAGCAGAGCCTGATGACTGTGTGTGTGTGTGTGTGTGTGTGTGTGTGTGTGTGTGAGTGAGTGAGTGGGGTTATCCTAAAATCCACAAGAATGTGTGTATGAGGGGGCAGAATGTGAGAACATGTGCTCGAACGTGTGTGTGTGCGCCTTATTCATGCACTTGCACAAGAAGGCACGGCAAACATTTCCCGCATAGAGCATAT